CTGAGACCTCTTTCAGCCTTGGCGTACATTAGTCTAGCTGGGTTTCTTTTGCGTGGGATCAACCGCACCAGAACCCCAGGCTTATGGACCCCAGCTTGCCCCTTAGGCTATGGGCTTCATGGCCTCCTGATCACATCTCTCACAGGCTCTGGACTTGCACCCTCTCAGTCTTTGCTGCCAGGTATTCAGTCTTCTGGGATGCAACAGTCCTCACTCCAAAATGGTTGGGTTTCTGCTTCACATGGCCCACCAAGCTTCAGGCCTTGGGGTGCTCTGTGTAGGATGCCCTTGCAGCACCTAGTGGCCTCAAATCCTCCCTTTACAGCCACCCCTGGCCCTCCAGTTTAGATGTAAATCAAAAGCATGAGTATCCACTCCCAAAATAAAGCTTCACAAAACACAAGCTCCTCTGTCAGGGTCAATGTCACTCTGCAGTAGCACAAACACAGAGGTTCAAGGCACTTATTTTTTGTTGCACACAGCGCAGGTTTTCTTCCACCCTTCTGGGGTACAGGGTTCTTTCTGCTTAAGCAGTCCAGACTGGCTTCTCTCTGGAGCTCTGCCTCCTGCAGTTTCTACAGGAAGACTGCCTTGTCTGGGCCGAGCCCTGGGCTTATGAGCCTTTGACCATCTACTTCTGCCCCAGGCCTGCCAATCACCACCTGTACTTGGGGTGGGCAGCCATTTTATTTAAGGCCTCTTTTTGCTATTTAGTCTGTTCAAGGGACTAAGTGGGCCCTGGGTTCCCTCCCTCTCTCAGTAATGAGGCAGGGCCCCTGGTACAAAAACTCAATTGATTTTCTTGTTCATGAAATATATATATTTGTAGTTCATACACAATGTTATTCATTGTTAGATTCTATATGTTTCTGAACAGGTCAGCAGGTCTTCTTGATCCAGGAATGCTTGTGAATATTCAACAGCCTTTGATACGGGATGACGGTACTGTCCTCCTAGCTGCAGACTCCAAGGTAAGACTCCTTTTTCTTCATTACGAAACCCATATTTTTGTTTAATAAATTATTTTGGCTGGATGTTGGACACAAATTTTTCTTATCCTCAGCTGTCTCAGAAGTTCCAGATCTCAGCTATCAGGGTTAGGCGAGACCCCCACAGCATCAAGGGAAGTACAATAAATACCTTCTTGTGCTGAGGAAAGGAGAGTGCTAGTTGAGCTGACTTTGGGGTCCACCCATTGATTCTTGCCCTAAGGAAGCAGGTGTAATGGAGATTGCTTCTGTCTCTCTGTAGCAAGTAGACTGCGATCATGATATATATTTACTAGATATATTTTATATTTACATGATATATTTTACTAGAATGATTTCTGTGGTTTAGGATAGATATGTTTAGAAAGCCTTTTCCATCATTAAATTAGCTGATTGAAGAGTACATGTCTTGTCTTGTCAGGCAGTAGCATGCCTGTATTTAGGTCAATAGCTGTAACTCATTCGCCATGCCACATCTCACCAAGAGTAAGGATTGAAGGTTTCAGAAACTTAAAGACCATCCATAACTAGGGACCTACTGAATTTGTGATTTTTGCAGATTTCATGGAAATAACAAGATCAGGGATTGTCAGCTATGGGAAATCCATGGGAAAAAAAACTTACTAAAATAAAATGCAGGCTCACCAGTGGGGGACAGTGGTCCTCACGACCTCTGTGGCTTGGCCACGCATCCTGCTGAAGGAGTGGGGGGGGAGGACCACTGGCGCAAACAGGTAGAGCCACCCTGCCCCTTGCTGCTGGTTGGCTGAGAGGGCTGGCTGTTGTGCAAAGCCTCTTAGCCAATCAGCATGAGGGGTGGAACCACACAACAAACAGTTCTCTTGGCCAGTCAACAGAGAGGGGCAGGGCCACTGGGGCCTCTGAGCCAGTCAGAGGCACTGGGAGGGCACCATGATAAACCCACAAAAATGACAGCCAGCCCTGCAATCTGCCTGCAAAACCCAACTCCTGCTTCGTCAATGGCCGCATCCAGACAAGCGCAGACGTTTGATATGTTAAGCTGCAGACCTGCCTGTGGCACTATGCACTGCACATGCAGGCGTTCCCCACGTTGCTACCTTTGGTCAAAAAAATCCACGTCAAGGTCAAAAAACCCCACACTGTGAAAAAGCAGGGTAGCACACATGGCGGCAATGCATGCCGCCCAAAACTGAAGCCTGGCTGGCTAGAGTCACACGCCAGCTGTTGTCCAGGCTTCCTGCCGTGGCTGCAGCCCCAGGAGGCCCTCAGGATCCCAGTTAAGGCTGCTGGGGCCAGCACAGTTGTTGGCCTCATCCTCCCTACCTCAACCTGGGTAACCTGCTGTGCACCAGAGCATGCGGGACACGGGCACTCCCCAGAGAGAAGTAGCTGCACACAAGGTGTGGCACTGCTAAGTGTCCCCAGAGAAACAAATGTCCATGCTCATCTGGACGCACCCAATTTGGGTACATCCCTATCTATAACCAGATGTGGGTCACTGTTTTCTGTGAGTTTTCAGGAGAAATGAAAAAGTACAGGGTAATAGGAGAAGGAAATAAAGAGATTTTTAAAATTATGGGAAGATGTATTACGTACAGCATTTCACCTAGAATTTTGATCCGCTAAAACGGTTTCTTTCTTTGTAGGCTGAGACAAGCCAGGGTGCTTTAGGAACACTGGCAAATGTTGTAACTTCCCTTGCCAACCTCAGTGAGTCACTTAATAATGGGGACACTTCTGAAATCCAGCCAGAGGATCAATCTGCAAGTGAGATCACTAGGTATGAACTTGCAATGGCGGCTGATTTAGAAGCCACCCTCTATATTGTCTTCAGTTATCCCTGTTCATTGAACTAGCATGGGGTAGGCAACGTTTTTTGACCCGAGTGCCAGAAAAAACCAATGCCTACCTTGGAAGGTGCTGGAGTGCCGGCATGCCAGA